CAAAGTGTGGACTTTGGTTGATTCGTTCAATGGTATTAAGACCATTGGATGCAAGTGGGTTTTCAAGAAGAAAACTGACATGGATGTCATCGTGCATACCTATAAGGCACGACTCGTCGCGAAAGGGTTTCGGCAGATTCATGGTATAGACTATGATGAAACCTTTTCACCAGTTGTGATGACTAAATCCATTCGGATTCTGCTGGTGGTGCCATTTCTCGGAATCGGAACTCGCCACAGCCTCTGAATACGACGTAGGCTCGTCATGTTCTAACAACATGAGTTCGTCGTTTCCAGTCACAAGAAAACCGTATCTTGTAGGCTCTTGGCGAATTCTACCAGATCTCCGAGGTTCACTAGGAAGATCTATAGAGATAGATCGAGAAGGCTTCTTGGTCTAAGTCAGAGTACATACATTGACAAGGTCTTGAATCGGTTCAAGATGCAAGACTCCAAGAGGGGTGCCTTGCCAATGGGACATGACGTTGCTCTTAGCAAGACTCAGTGTCCAAAGACACAGGATGAGCAAGAGCGCATGAGTAGGATTCCATATGCCTCGGCAATTGGATCCATCATGTACGCCATGTTGTGTACTCGTCCGGATGTATCATATGCATTGAGTATGACTAGTAGATATCAATCTACACCAGGTGAGGCTCACTGGATTGCGGTCAAGAATATCCTTAAGTACTTGAGAAGGACTAAGGATTTGTTCTTGGTGTATGGCGGATTGGAAGACGAGCTCGCTATAAGTGGAGACCGCATTCCTTAACGGGAATTTGCTCGAGGATGTGTACATGACACAACCCGAGGGTTTTGTTGATCCTAAGAGTCCGAGGAAGGTGTGCAAGCTTCAGAGATCCATTTATGGATTGAAGCAGGCTTCGAGGAGCTGGAATCTTCGATTTGACGAGGCAGTCAAAATGTTTGGCTTCCTGCAAAACGAAGATGAGCCATGTGTTTACAAGAAGGTCAGTGGGAGCGCAGTGGTCTTCTTTGTACTTTATGTGGATGATATATTGCTCATCGGAAATGACATTCCTACCTTGCAAGGAGTAAAATCCTGGCTAGGATCAGTTTTTTCGATGAAGGACTTAGGAGAAGCCGCCTATATTCTAGGAATCAAGATCTATAGAGATAGATCGAGAAGGCTTCTTGGTCTAAGTCAGAGTACATACATTGACAAGGTCTTGAATCGGTTCAAGATGCAAGACTCCAAGAGGGGTGCCTTGCCAATGGGACATGACGTTGCTCTTAGCAAGACTCAGTGTCCAAAGACACAGGATGAGCAAGAGCGCATGAGTAGGATTCCATATGCCTCGGCAATTGGATCCATCATGTACGCCATGTTGTGTACTCGCCCAGATGTATCATATGCATTAAGCATGAGTAGTAGATATCAGTCTACACCAGGTGAGGCTCACTGGATTGCGGTCAAGAACATCCTTAAGTACTTGAGAAGGACTAAGGATTTGTTCTTGGTGTATGGCGGATTGGAAGACGAGCTCGCTATAAGTGGTTATACCGATGCTAGTTTCCAAACCGACAGAGATGACTTCAGATCGCAGTCAGGTTACGTTTTCTGCCTGAACTGTGGGGCTATTAGTTGGAAGAGTTCCAAACAGCCAACCGTTGCAGATTCGACTACAGAAGCCGAGTACATAGCAGCATCGGATGCAGCTAAGGAAGCTGTTTGGATCAGGAAATTCGTGGGAGACCTGGGCGTCATTCCTAGCATTGCAGATCCCATTGAGTTGTATTGTGACAACAATGGTGCGATTGCGCAAGCTAAGGAACCCCGGTCACACCAGAGATCCAAACACATACTCAGGCGATTTCACTTGATCAGAGAAATCATCGACAGAGGAGACGTGAAGATAAGCAGAGTGTCGATAGATGATAATATTGCCGACCCATTGACGAAGCCTCTCCCTTCGTCAAAACATGATGGTCATGTTAGGGGTATGGGGATTAGATGCTTGTAGGATAGATCATAGAGCATAGTGGGAGATTGTTGGTTGTAATGCTCTAGGATGATCCGTGATATGACATTTTGACTTTGTATTGATTCATTTATTTATGAATGCGTTACATTCCCGTTATATGATTGGCATGTTTGTTATATTTCGGTATCCTTGAATCATTATAGAATGATTCTAAACACCCTGGTCAGTTATCATTGTGGGAACTATGATGAATTAAGACTAGCATGAGGTGTGATCGATGCATTGGATGCATGTCACAATCATGGGTACTCGTTGTGTACGAGTGACTGGATGACCCGCATGAGATTGTCACATGGACAGAGTCATGACTTGAATCTCATACAGCGGTTCGTTCTTGGATCCTCAGACCTGAGATGTCTAGAGTATCTGATATGAGGAGTGGCGTGTCTTGACTGCGTCAAACGTCGTCTTTAACCGGATGATTATAACGGCGTTGATCAGATACGTTCACGAATCATATGGAGATAGTAGACATGCAATATGGGACTTGTCACCTCTTTAACAGGAGAGATATCGCTGGGCCCTCTCGTGGAAGTCGGACTATGAAAACGCGTGGCCACGCTATAGATGAAGTTGCATCTATTTTATTAGTCGATTTGCCAAGGCGAGAAAGCAGTTGAACTTGAAGGGTGGCTCAAATCATGCCCTTGTTCAACTTATGATATCGTGAGACAAAGGATTAGAATTCGAGCTGTTAATGCCTTGGTTAGATCACCTCTAACTCAATTCTATATGGGTGGTCATGGCGTCTTGCTAGAGATGCCGGACCAAGCTCCTGGTCCGGCAGACAGGGATCCGGAATATTTCCAAAAATTCGTTTTAGGGTTTTCTAATCTTATTTAAGTTTGGGATTTCGTCCAAACTAAAAGAGAGCCGACCTAAAAACTCAGAGAAACATCCTAGAACCCTAGAGAAGCTGTTCTCTTCGATTTCTATTGTCCCGGGATTGGATCTCGTCTCTTGAGTTACCCTTTTCTTCACTAATCCTAGCAGATTCGTTCCAAATCGTTTGGAATCCTTCCCGTCGGTGTGGATACGTGTAGAGGAGCTGTACTTTCAGCTCTTGGTGATTTAGAACAGGCCCCGGATCAAAATAAACTTCAAGACTCATCGAGAACGAGGTAAGTAACGATTCCCTCGGTGATATACACGATCTTTCGGGTTTTGCGAGTTTGGTTGCGTGTGACGTTTGACTAGGTTTAGATTTTCTTCCGCTGCATGAAACCTAGTAAACCAAACCTTAGATCGATATGATCGCATGCTAGGAACCCGTAGATATCCCAACAAAAACAACTTCTGGAGATCATCCATCCGATGGTTGAAAAGACAGCGCCTCCAAGGCTAACAAGAGAGGAAAAAGGCAAGACGGTAGAGGAAGATACTCCTAAAGTGCAAGAACCGGAGAAAGAACCGGTCTACATTCCGTCTCCGCCCAAGGTACCCCCAATACCCTTTCCTTCTCGTTTAAAGACATTTAATGAGGACAGCCAATTTGGAAAGTTTGCGGAAATCCTGAAGAGGATGGAGATTACAATGCCTTTCCATAAGGCAATTCTCCAAATGTCATCATATGCGAAATTCCTCAAGGATATTTTGACGAAGAAGCGGGTAGTGGAAAAAGAGACTGTAACATTGAGCACTGAAATTAGCGCAGCCATTACAAAGCATGAACTTCCTCCGAAGATATCTGATCTGGGAAGTTTCTCTATTCCATGCAAGTTGGGGAATATTGAGATTGATAGAGCATTATGCGACCTTGGAGCTAGCGTGAGTTTGATGCCACTATCCATTTACAAGAAGTTGAATATAGGCGACTTGAAACCCACGAGGATGGCTTACAACTAGCGGACAGATCTATCAAGTATCCAGCAGGGATTTTAGAAGACATACCCCTCAAGATTGGCGGATTCTATGTTCCAGTGGATTTTGTAGTGCTAGACATGGATGAGGACTCTAAAGTTCCAATCATTTTGGACCGCCCATTCTTGAGCACAGCGGATGCCGTAGTTCATGTCCGAGCTGGAAGATTAACGTTGAAAATTGAGGACGAAACTGTTGAATTCACACTCGATCAGAATTTGAAGCAACCTTCGACCAATGATACAGTATGTTATGCATATATACTTGAGGCAATGGCGGAAGAAGTGATCAGAGAGTTCCACGAAGTAGATCCACTTGAAGTATCACTTATGGTCGCGGAAGCAAGCTTATATAGTAATTAATTGGAAAGAGATCGAGGAGATAAGACGAGTCTTGAATGATCGGGAAGAGGAAAAAGAGGACTTTGCAGTTTTTCAGGCGGCCCGCCCAGAATTTCGGGCGGACCGCCCGATTTCATCTGAGGATATTGGAATTCAGGGAAAAACGAGCGACCGCCCGTTTTTTCGGGCGGACTGCTCGAATTCCCTGGGAAAAATCGATCTTCAACCAGCAGACGTAGGCGACCGCCCGCAAGAATGGACGACCCGCTCATATTCTCTGAGCAAAATCGACTCATCTTCGGAGGCAGCGAGCGACCGCCTTGAAATTCAGGCGACCCGCTCGAAAGTTCTGAGACATTTGGATCCTGCATTTGAGGAAACGAGCGACCGCTCGAGAAATTAGGCTCCTGCTCGAAATGGGCGATCCGCCCGAAAAGTGGGCGACCCGCCCGTTTGCGTCTGAAATAGAAAATTCACGTCCCGAAGCCATCTTTTCGGCCACTCAAGCCTTCCTTGATGCACCTCAAGCCCCGAGAGGAGATACACATGCTGATTGGGATCCCAAATATGTTCCACAGGTTGAACTAAAACCTCTACCTCAAGGGCTAAGGTACGTCTTTCTCGGCGTAAATTCTACTTACCCCATTATCATTAATGATGCACTAGATGAGGATCAAGTAGAAAAACTCACCAAGTTGCTTAGGCAATACAGGGAAGTCCTAGGTACATCAAGGGTCTTAGCCCCTCTCTTTGCATGCATCGCATACATTTAGAGGATGATACCAAATCGTCAATCGAATATCAACGTAGACTAAACCTGAACATGAAAGAATTAGTCAAGAAAGAGGTCTTGAAATTGTTAGATGCGGGTATGATTTACCCGATTTCGGATAGCTCTTGGGTTAGTCCGGTGCAAGCCGTGCCTAAAAAGGGAGGAATCACAGTCGTTCCTAATGAAAACAATGAACTCATATCGACTAGAACTGTTACGGGATGGAGCATGTGCATTGATTATCGAAAACTTAACACAAACACCCGTAAGGATCACTTTCCCCTTCCATTCATCGATCAAATGTTAGAGAGGCTTGCACTGCATTCTTATTGTTGTTTTCTCGATGGTTACTCCGGTTTCTTCCAAATTCCTATCCATCCGAGTGACCAAGAGAAAACAACATTCACATGCCCTTACGGCATTTTCGCATATAGACGCATGCCATTTGGATTATACAATGCCCCCGCAACTTTTCAAAGATGCATGATGGCTATTTTCTCCGATGTCATTGAAGATATTATGGAGGTGTTCATGGACGATTTTTCTGTCCATGGACCCTCCTTTGATGCGTGTTTAACCAATCTCCATCGAGTATTAGACAGGTGTCTCAAGGCGAATTTGGTTTTGAATTGAGAGAAATGCCACTTCATGGTGCGAGAGGGCATTGTACTTGGTCATCGAATTTCAGACAAGGGGATAGAAGTGGATAGAGCGAAAGTGGAAGTGATTGAGAAGCTACCGCCACCGACCAATGTTCTGAAGTTTCTTGGGTCACGTCGGATTCTACAGGAGATTTATCAAGGATTTCTCGACGATAGCTAGACCTTTGACTGCACTTTTGGGCAAGGACGTCCCATTTGAGTTCAATGAGGAGGCCACAAGGCATTCAGGATATTGAAGAAGGCACTAGTATCACCTCCTATTATTCAACCCCTGGATTGGAGCATTGCTTTTGAATTAATGTGTGATGCTAGCGACTTTGCGGTCGGAGCCGTTTTGGGACAAAAGAAAGATGGAAAGCATTACGCCATATACTACGCAAGTCGGACGTTCGACGACGCTCAAATGAATTACTCCACCACGGAGAAAGAGCTCCTTGCTGTAGTATTTGCTTTCGAGAAGTTTAGATCGTACTTGGTGGGGTCCAAAGTTATCGTCTATACGGATCATGCCGCATTGAGGTATTTGCTTACGAAGAAGGATGTCAAACCTCGACTGATTCGATGGGTACTGCTGTTGCAAGAGTTTGATTTGGAAATCCGCGATAGGAGAGTAACGGAAAATACCGTGGCGGATCACTCGTCGAGATTGGAGATACCCGGAGCCATATCTATCAACGATTCACTAAGGGAAGAGCAAATCTTATCACTGGAGATCAAGGGCGTGACACCTTGGTATGCAGACTTCGTTAATTATTTGGTTCCCAAGGTAGTACCCCCGGAGTTGAGCTACAACGAAAAAAAGAAGTTCTTCCATGACGTTAGAGATTATTTTTGGGATGAGCCCTTCTTGTTTAAGAGGGGTAAGGACGGATTGTTTCAGAGATGTATCCCGGAGGAGGAAGTACACCAGATCATACATCATTGCCATGCCTCGGACTATGCTAGCCATTTCGCCTCAGCTAAGACCGCAGCGAAGATCCTACAAGTAGGTTTCTATTGGCCGACATTGTTCAAGGACGTCCACACTTTTGTGAGCTCATGCGATGCTTGTCAAAGGACGGGCAACATATCCCGGAGAAATGAAGCACTGCAAAATTACATCTTGGAGGTAGAACCTTATATGTTTGGGGGATAGACTTTATGGGACCATTTCCCTCATCTTCTGGAATCTATACATCCTTGTGGCGGTGGATTATTTCATGAAGTGGGTAGAAGTGTTAGCAAGTCCCAAGAATGACTCGAGCACTGTGACAAGGATGTTCAAACGGATAATATTTCCAAGGTTTGGAGTGCCAAAAGTGGTGATAAGCGATGACGGTGCACACTTTGTTAATAGGGTAATCCAAACCCTTTTGACAAAGTATGGTGTCCACCATAGAGTTGCAACTGCATACCATCCACAAACGAGTGGACAGGTGGAAGTATCAGACCGGGAGATCAAACAAATATTGGAGAAAACAGTGGCTAAGTCAAGGAAAGACTGGGCCTTGAAGCTCGAAGACACGGTTTGGACATATAGAACGGCGTTCAAGACGCCCATAGGGATGAATCCGTTCCAACTCGTGTATGGGAAAACTTGCCATCTACCGGTCGAGTTGGAGCACAAGGCGTGCTGGGTTATAAAGGCGCTGAATTATGATTGGAAGTCCGCAGCCGAAAAACGAACGCTAGAGCTCCACCACTTGGAGAAAATTCGCTTCACATATGAGAACGCACAAATCTATAAGGAGCGGGCCAAGAAATGGCATGATCGCCATATCCTCAACCGAAACTTCCAACAAGGTGACATCGTACTTTTATTTAATTCTCGACTAAAGTTTTTTTCAGGTAAGTTGAAATCAAGATGGTCGGGACCATTCATCATAAGGAACGTCACGTCGCATGGAGCGGTGGAACTCGACAACGGGAAAGGCGGATCGTTCATGGTCAACACCCAAAGGATCAAACCGTACAATCCAGGGAATACTAAACCGGGAGGAGGTACCTCTGTACTCTCCCTCTCTTTAATCAATGGAATGACATCTCGGTCTAGCTATGACCTTATAACTAGCAACTCCGGTTAACCCCGGGATGTAAATTCTTCAAACCTCGTCAATTTCTATTTCGTTTTCGCTAGAAGGGTTCCAAATTCTCTCATACACTCTCGCCAAACCAAGTCCTTTCATCGAGGGAGCGAGAAACGGGAAAAATCTTCATCAAGCGTCGGATTACAGGAAAAACGCAAGTGAGCGGTCGCTCGTTATTTCGAGCAACCGCCTGCTTCATTTCAAAATATATATATATATATATATATCGAGCGATCGCTCGGGAAATCGAGCGACCGCTCGATCAAAAAATCTAATTTTAACCCAGTTTCGGGAGAGGGGCGCCACTTACACACACCGCAAATCCCTCTCCCTCTCTTTTTCTCTCTCTCACCGGCGAACGTTCCTCCACGCACTCTGTGCCCGATTCCGCTGCCCCGAAGCCTCTCTATGTCGTCGTCGTTCCGCAATCTCCCCGCCAGCCCCCCCCCCACGCGTTCTCACTCGTCCCAAAACTCCTAACCGGTAATTTTCTCGCTCAAATTTGTGTCATTAGGGTGCTTAGGATAAGGGTAGGTCGGAAATTTTGATGGGTATAGATATTAAGCTTGATATTGCTCGATTTCGGCCGGAAAATCCCGATTTCCGGCCAAGGAATCGGTAATCCGAACCAGTGAGCGACCGCTAGAGCGGTCGCCCATTCACCCAGCGGTCGATTGAGCGATCGCTCGTAAAGCGAGCGACCGCCTGTGAAAACAGGCGGCCCCCTCGTTTTGTCAGTTCCGCGAAAAATCATTCGATTTTCTTCGCCCTAACCCAATGCCCCAATCCATATCGAATATACCTTTGCAGATGGCACCAAATTGAGTTCCATGAAGGACCATCACTTGACTCATGCGTTCGGGCTCCGTGGACAGATATAGACTTGGCCTCGCGGATAGCCATGCATCTACACACATTGGCCCACACCAAGGCCAACGAGACATGAATTTGCGTGGGCGGTATGATCACAAAGATAGCTCAACGGGTGGACACGGGAATCACCTTCTTCCAAGCCAACATCTTCGATACCATTGTCCTCCTGAACATGGAAGCTCTTCGACTCAGAGGACATATTCGATGAAAGGGGTCTGAATGGGTTTACACGAGAGATGACAGATTGAAGAGATACATAATGCTCCCAAAT